CAGGAGCAAGAGTCTTAAGGGTCAGACACATCATCAGTCAGGGCTCGTTATGGATTGCACAGGCCCTCCACACTCAGGGACACAATTAAACCCCAAAGTCTTACCTTGACAGACGATGGATTAACATTAATGTCTGATGGATCAGGGTGGAAAGTTTATCTAACTGGCCCTTGGAAGGCGGTTCTCCTGAGCTGGTTACTTAAACCAAGTTCGGCCTCTCCTCCACCTCTCCTCCCTGCACACCAGGCGCTTATCCCCTCACGCCCGTTCCACTGTTGCCAGGCTCTGCCAGGGGAACAAGGCTGCCTGATCTTGAACTTTTTGAACCTCCAAAATGTACAATAAAATAAACCTTTTCCTCCCTCAAAAAAGCTCCTTGCAGCTTTTCTAGTTAGGGTAACCGAAAGCTGATGATACAGGGACTAACCAGGAAAAGAGAGGCCTGGAAGAGCTGAGCAAGATGGGAAAATGAAAATAAATCATTGCATACACAGGAAATGGAGGAGGTGAGAAACCTAAGAATGGAGGAAGTCGCCCAGAGATTTAAGTCCATCGGCCAGACTGGAAAAACTGGGGAGGAGAAGCTGGATCCACAGCAGGATAGAGTAGTCCTGCCAGAGGCACCACCAGAGTGGAGGCAAGTACCCTCCCCAGTCCTGCCCCTTTCTTGCTAGGTCTCCCAGGGGCGGAACCCAGCCGGAGCCAGCTGCCACAGGATCTGCAAGCATCAGGGCCCCAAGCCTGAGAGCAGAGCAAGGATGGGACGATTCCCATCGGAGAACCCACAGGCTCAGGACGTGCACGCCAAAGACAAGGGCCAGAAGTAGGGCTTTGTTTCGTCTTTATGAAATAATCTCTACATATCCCGATCCAAAGCATGGAAGGCTAAGTTTAGTGTTTTTAATATAAACCTTGGGGCTTAGGACGTGAGCTCATGGCAATTTCCTGTCACACAAAAAAGCAATAAAACCCCTTCCTGGTTTGGGCGGAGGGGCGTGGAGCGAAGGCGGGAGGGGTGGCACTCCCAGCTCCCAGAAGGGGGTCTCCTGGGGTGAGTGCCTCAGGCGTGAGGGCAGGGCGTTTGAAGGCCCCGCGCCAGCAGGGGATGGCAGTGTAGCAGCAGTGGGTGGCGTGCGGTGGCAAAGCAGAGAAGCAGGTTGGACTGTGTTTGCCGTGGGGTTTCCAGACTTGTCTGGATCTCCTGGGGCAGGTCCATAGGCCACCTGCCTCGATGCGGGATGCACAGTTGCAGAGAAACCCCGCACCACAGAGGGCTGGGCTCCAGTTGAGGAAGCTGCACGTCTGGAGTGGGAGCCGTCCATAGGAGGGGACGGCAGGACCTGGGGCCAGCGGCAGAGCGGCTGTGTATGCCACCTGCTACCAGCGCTCTTTGTGGCTGACTTTCACCACAAAGAAGTTCATCTTTTTTATATGATCCTATATGGGCGAGAGTGCATGGGTTTTGGTCCCAGCTCTGCTCCCTGTTATCACACACCCTGGGAGGCAGCCGGGACGGCTCAGGTGCTTGGGTCCTTGCCACCCACTGGGGAGACTCACTGCTTCTTAAATTAATTAATTAAAATCAAATTTTGGCTCAAAGTTCCCAAGCATCGTCCAAAGTTCAAAATGTGTTTCTTCTTCTAAACTACTTGGGATTCCCATCTGCACTAATGTAGATGTTCCCCCTTTCCAAGGCCTGTGTTGAATCCGGTCACTCCTTAAGCAAGCCGCCTACATGTACCCAGGCGGACTTGTTCTGTAAATAAAACTTTCATACCCTTTCATCAGTCGCTCTCCTTCCTTCTCCTGCCGACTCCACACCTTAGGAAGCCTCAACTACAATGCAGACAGAGCGACCTTTGATGAGAGATGAGAGACAGGGCCCCCAAGCCGAGTCGTGGGGTATTATCACATGGCCCATATCCTAGCCTGTGTGTATAACACTCCCTCATAATGTTTATGCGCAGTGTACTGGTGGCCTTCAGTCGTAAGTTCAAGCCTCCGTCTTTTCTTAAAAACTCAGAGAGTAGGGGTAACCCAAGTCTCCTGCCCTGGCTGTTATGTACAGACTCCTTGGCAGGCTGAGAAAGAGCTGTAGGCACCTCCTGAGCCAAGGTCCGCCCAGGCTGACGTGGTCCTCCCCTTTTTTTCCTTTCTGTGCAGCTCTCCAAAGTCAGCCTCCGCTTCTGCATCACCACCAATGGCTTCTCTTGCCAGTTAGCCTCCACCCTTCTGGCCTGAGTTGCTTTTGTTTTAAGATTTATTTATTTATTTGAAAGTCAGAGTAAACAGAGAGAGGAGAGGCAGTGAGAGAGAGAGAGGTCTTCCATCCGCTGGTTCACTCCCCAGTTGGCCATATCGGCTGGAACTGTGCCGATCCAAACCAGGAGCCAGGAGCTTCTTCTGAGTCTTCCACATGGTTGCATGGGCCTAAGGACTTGGGTCATCTTCCACTGATTTCCCAGGGCACAGCACAAAGCTGGATCAGGAGTGAAGCAGCCGAGACTTGAACTGGCGCCCATATGGGATGTCGGCACTGCAGGCAGCAGCTTTACCCGCTACACCACAGTGTCAGTCCCCTGAGTTGAGTTCTTTATGATTATCTTTTGTATTCTTTTTTGCTTTTTTTGACAGGCAGAGTGGATAGTGAGGAGAGAAAGGTCTTCCTTTTGCCGTTGGTTCACCCTCCAATGGCCGCCACGGCTGGAGCCAGGTGCTTCTCCTGGTCTACCATGCGGGTGCAGGGCCCAAGCACTTGGGCCATCCTCCACTGCACTCCCGGGCCACAGCAGAGAGCTGGCCTGGAAGAGGGGCAACCGGGACAGAATCCAGCGCCCCGACCGGGACTAGAACCCGGTGTGCCGGCGCTGCTAGGTGGAGGATTAGCCTATTGAGCCGCAGCGCCGGCTGTGGAATTTCTTAAACCAGAGTCCAAGAAAGAAGCTCTCCATAGAGCCCTCCACGCTATCTTCTCTTCTGCTGCCAGCTTTCCTGTGTCCGCCTCCAGCTGACACAGCCGCTACCTGTGCATCCTGTGCTCTCCCAACCTAAGGCTTACTCTCCAGTCTTTCAGACCTCACCCAAGAATCAGGAGATCAACAGGGCTCCTTCATCTGCCAAAAATATCACAGCACCATTTCTGCTCCGCCCAGGTACCCAGGCAGAGGGCAGTGTGGGAAGGGGGATATAGGCTCCTTCTGCTCCAGTTAGCGAGTCAGGCTCCATGCAATGCACCTCCCGCCACTGCCCGTTTGACCATCAGGGACCTGGGAGCAGCTCCAACCCAGCCCCTGCAGCTCTCCTGCTCTCTCTTCCCTTCTCTGATCTCTGCCTCCCAGCCCAGTTTCTTAGGTTTTTCTGCCCAGAAGGGAGACTGGGCACTGGCCGGGAGTCATAGTCCATATTGTTCCCTGCCGTTGGTTACTTTTTATAAAGCCTAAACTCTGATCCTCCAATTTGGTTTAAGCTTTGGAACCAAGCCCTCTTTGAATTAAAAACAAAACCACTTTCCTGTCAAAGGCTTAATTCATGCAAATCTAAAATGCCGTGATTTCAGACTGTTTTGCCAGGTGTGAATTTTAAAAATCCATTCCACCTTTCAGTTAAATGATTTCTTTGTAGGCAACATCAGCCCTCACCAAATAGTGAATGCTGTTACCCAGTGGCTAGAGAACTACAGAAGAATCCCAGGTTAAAAATCTACAAATGCTATCCTAGCACACTTCTAAAAAATGAGACATTGTTTTACTTTGAAATTATTGTTGATGGCTTGGTTTTGTTTATATCCTTTATGCTGCTTCAAGAGCGCTGTCACAGGGCAGGTGTTGTGGCACAGTGGGTTAAGCCACCACGTGGGGTACACCCACATCCCATGTCATGGGACCTGGTTGGAGCAAGTCCACACTTCTGATCCAGCTTCCTAATGCTGCATCCTGGGAGGCAGTAGATGATGGTTCCAGTGCTTGGGGCCTTGCCACCCATGACCTGGATGGATCTGGCACCTGGCTTCCGCAGGGCCCCGCCTTGGCTGTTGTGGGCATTTGAGGAGTGAACCACCACATGAAAGCTCACTCGCTCTCTTGCTCTGCCCTTCAAGTGGATGAAAATAAATAAGCATTTTTTAAAAAAGAATACAGTCATAATTTTACTACAAATATGTGATGAACCACTTAGGTACTGTCATGTTTTATAAAACCACCGTGGAAATTTGGATTTTAAAAGAGACATTGTTTAGAGGTTTTTTCAAAATTTTTGGACTTAGAGATTTCCTCATGGCATCTGGTATTTCTTGTGATTTATAGTCTGGTTCTCAGTAGAAAGAATCTCTACTTAAACTGGGAGATCATTTCTACAAGAAAGGAAAGGAATGGATTAGTCACGGAATTCAAACTTTTTTGGGTAAATTTACAAAGAAGGGGAATGAAATTTAAGACTTTTCTTACATAGCTTCTTGTTTCTTTGGATCCCCACTTTGGTTATAATATTGAGTTCAGAGAAAGAGATTCTGAGAAGAAGTATCAGTTTTTTTACTCAAAGGAATCATTAAATATAGTCATTTCCCCTTATCCACTGCTTTGATTCCTGAAGTTTTACTTACTTACCTGTGGGTTAACTATGATCCAAAAATATTGAATAGGAAATTCCCAAGATAAATCATTCCTGAGTTTGGACTGCATGAGTAGTGTGATGAGATCTTGTGCTGACCCAGCCCGCGTGCCCAGGAAGTGAATCACGCCCTTGTCCAGCATAGGCACCATGTATGCACTACCCACCTGTCAGCCACTCTTCAACAGCTGTGTCACTTAGACTGGCTCTCCCTGGACTGCAGGGCTTGTGTTCAAGTAACCCTTATCCTACTTAGTAACGGCTCTGAAGCACAAGAGTTAGCGATGCTGGGAATGTATTACAGTATGTTGTAATTATTCTATTTCATTATAATTGTTAATCTCTTGCAATGTATAAATTAAACTTATATTGGATTCAGCGCTATCTATGGTTTCAGGAACCCAGTGGAGACCTTAGAACCTCCATGGAGAAGGAGGATTACTGTAATCTCTATGACCCTGTACTGAATAACCAGCTTGGTAAGCCCTGATCCGTGCCTTTGAGGCTACAGATTGTTTTCCACTTAGTATTTATGACTTGTCTTGATTTCTGCATGGAGTGTGACCTAATATTGATGAAGAGGTAATGTGTTTTTTAAATACTCTTTAAAGATTCTTTTGGGCCGGTGCCGCGGCTCACTAGGCTAATCCTCCGCCTTGCGGCGCCGGCACACCGGGTTCTAGTCCCAGTCGGGGCGCTGGATTCTGTCCCGGTTGCCCCTCTTCCAGGCCAGCTCTCTGCTGTGGCCAGTGAGTGTAGTGGAGGATGGCCCAAGTGCTTGGGCCCTGCACCCGCATGGGAGACCAGGAGAAGTACCTGGCTCCTGCCATCAGATCGGCGCGGTGCGCCGGCCGCAGCGCGCCGGCTGCGGCAGCCATTGGAGGGTGAACCAACGGCAAAGGAAAACCTTTCTCTCTGTCTCTCTCTCTCACTGTCCACTCTGCCTGTCAAAAAAAATAAATAAAAAATAAAAAAAAAGAGTCTTTTGACCCTGTACAGTTCATGAGGAAATGCTGTATTTATTAAAGGCTTACAAAGATGTTTTTGTTTGCAGTGCATCCCACAGTTTTCACGTTATCTCCTCAGACTACAGCTCTACAGCATGCTTCAGGCATGACACATTTGCTTTCAAATTTCCAGGTAGGTAACAGCATTTACAGCAAAGATATCCAGGCTAATTGAGAGAGTGACGCATCTGCAGGAAGATGGCCCTCCCACTTCCCTTCTCTGGAAGCCAATGTCTTCATGCGATTTCCTTCCTGGAAATCTCTGTTTTCATTACAGAGTTAGCTCCTGTATGGGAAGTATCCTTACAGAGGGCGAGCTGGTTCCTTTTTGTAGGGAACAGGGTTATTTTATCTGTATACTTCATGACACTAAGATATGGACATCCTAAATTATTAATTGAAAAGAAATAATCTAATTACCACTAACTGCATATCCTGTGACTTCCTTTGAAGAAATACCAGTACAGGGTTTTTAAGGGCTTGTATAATCGTTAAAGCAGAGAACAAACAGCAATACCCTGCTCCTCTCATCTTGTTCTGCCTCCTTGGACATAATTATTTCAAATTGTTTCATGTTTCTTCTAGAAATTACTCTCCTATTTCTAAACAGTATGCAAATGTTGCCCTCTATTCATCAATTTTACAAATTAAACTACCTGTTTCTGTGGCAGAAGAGGATTTTCACTCCTTCACTTTCTCCTAACCTATCTTTCTAATACAGCTTTTTCACAAATTCTTGTTAATCCCACCTTCAGGGGTTTTCATTACTGCCCCTATATATCCAGGTGGATGTTGAAGCAGTGTGCTTGTCCTTCGTTTGTCTTCAGTCTGGACCAGGAGACCAGCTGGTTTTTTCTTAAGAAATTTCCAAAGCCAGTGTCCAGAGGCATTGTTTTCTGAGCCTGTCATCTCTCCATCTCCTGCCTGTGATTAGAAGCCTGGTTATTGCTATTCTGAAACACATAGGGGAAGGGGGAGGGGTTTTGCCTTTCAGAACACAGCAATTCCCTTGTTTTAAATCTGTCATCTCATCCTGGCTCTCCCCAATCCCTCCAAAGCATCCTCTCTGCTGCTAGTGTTAGGGACGGATGGGGCCTGACCAATGGGAGTATATCTGGCTGGCAACCTGGAAGTCTAGTTGTTCACATGGACTTTCAGGCAGTTCCCCGACCTTTGCCCACCCCAACACCTCATTCCTGCCATCTGAGATTCCTGGCACCTCCAATTTCTCAACATTCCCAGACCTCTGAGAAGCAAATCAGTTCAATTCCCATCAATATCCCCCTTTACACACCTTGTCAATCCTAAAACTGAGTCTACTTGATGATGCTTGCCATGTATAGGGTGGGGAGAGGTAGGAAGGATATGGATTTATCTTCAAACAACCCCTAATCAAAACATCAACTGTATTGGGTTCCTTGGATATATGTGGTTATAAGTCATACTTCCCATTTAATTAGAACACAGAGTTCCGCCTATCCTCCATTAGGTAGGCATGATGTGTTTTGTTTAAACAGAAGTTAACTCTGAAGCCAGAAGCCAGGAATTCCATCCAGAGCTCCCATGTAGGTGGCAGGGACTCAAGTACTTGGGCCATCTTCTACTGCTCATTAGCATTAGCAGGAGGCACATTAGCAGAATCTGTGTCAAAAGTGGAGCAGCTGAGACTTGAACTGGTGCTCTGGTACAGGATGCCCGTGTTGCAAGTGGCAGATTGCCCTACCATAACAGGGGCCTTACCTGAAAAAGGGAGAGCCTACCTCCTAGTATTGTGTGAAGACTATAAGATCAAAACCCTTCAATGAGGTCCTAGTACAATCTAGCTGTTAGCAATTCTGATTATCACCTCACATCTAAGAAAAGGAACTAGAGGATAGGGGTTGGGTGGGTGTCGAATTAGCTGAAGCTGATGCCCTAAGTCAGACAGCCCAGGGTCTCTCCCTTCTGGTTCTCAATTGTGCTGTGTTTCAGTTCAGGAAATTCCAGTACCGCATCAGCTGAATGAGATAACTAGCCCATTGTCTGACACTGTGCTAGCATGTGACACTCTCACTGGCCCACTGTTCCAACATGAGTGACACGTGTGAGCCATAGCCACTCTGCAGAGGGAACAAAGTGTTTCATCAAGGTACAAGAAGTGCCCTCTTCTCACCTTGAACTTGAAAATCATGTGGGTTTTATTTTCTAAGTGTTAGCTCAACAGTGGACTCCAAGTTGCCCGTGCTGGTGGAAGGCGGGTCACCCATGGCCACGAGGAATGATTGCTGGAGAAATCCCTTAGACTTTGTGACTTCTGTGATTAAGGGTTTTGTCTCTGAGACTTAGTGTTTAAACGTTCTGGAAATAAAATCCAAAACAAGACTTGCTAGAAGGCTGACCTCAGAGATACCAGAAAGTGTACAGCATTCTCTGAGCTGGGATGCACACGGCCTCTGAGTGGGGGAGCCTCCAGCCTCGTGTGCTGTCTCACACCTTCCTGGGGGTAAGGAAGACAGATAACCACTCCTGATGGCTGGGCCTCTGAAGGGGCTTCTACCTCTTTCTCATTCTGAGGACTAAATGACAAAACTGACACAGAAATGATTTGATCACATGGAGTTTAAATTGTTCTTTCAAGTGCACGAATAATATAGTTTCTGCAGTACGTAGAAATCAGCTCTTTGGGAAATTGTCCTTGTGTGAACCTGTTGATGAGAGTGATTAACAAAACAAAGCAGTGCTGAGAAAGGAGGAATAGGAAGGAAGGCAGGGAAAGAGAGAAAGAAGACTTTTTTTAATGGAGTGAATATGGAGCTGGCACAGTGGCACAGTGGGTTAAAGCCCCAGCCTGCAGTGCCGGCATCGCATATGGGTGCTGGTTCGAGTCCCAGCTGCTCTACTTCTGATCCAGCTCTCTGCTGTAGCCTGGGAAAGCAGAAGATGACCCAAAGTCCTTGGGTCCCTGTATCCATGTGGAAGACCAACAAGAAGCTCCTGGCTTCTGGCTTTGGATCAGCTCAGCTCTGGCTGCCCAGAAAGCTGTGAGAACCGAAAATTACCCACACTGGAGAACTCGGACGAAACAGTAGTGAGCTCCGGCAGAGAAACTGGTAAAGGTAAGGAAATGTCAATTGGGTAGGAAGGAAGATGAGAACCAAGTAGACGGCAGACTTCAGAGAATGGAGGAAAGGTGAGTACTGCCTCTGGGTAGCTATGGTGAGTCTGGACTAGAAGGGAGGTGAACCAAGTTGGTAGGGACAGTGGCAAGGGGCATGGATGGGAGAATGGGAGACCATCCAGCTTCCCTGGGTCAAGGGACATAGACTCTGCTGCCGGCAACAAAAGGGCTGGAAGCTGTTTCCCAACATATGGAGCAGTGGCATTGTCTTAAAAGTAATCCAAGAAAGTGTGTCCGCTCATAGAGACTGAGGGCTCTGTTCTCAACTTGGGCAGGCACAAGACAACAGCCCACAGTAACTTTCACTTACTTATGTTTTAAATTTCTTTATTTATTTTGAAACTCAGAGTAACAGAGAGAGAGAGAGAATCTTCTATCTTGTGATTCATTTCCCAAATGGCCACAAGAACTAGGACTGGGCCGATCTGAAGCCAGGAGCCAGGAGCTGCTTCTGGGTCTCCCACTTGGGTGCAGGGGCCCAAGCACTTGGGCCATCTTCCTCTGCTTTCACAGGCCATTAGCAGAGAGCTGGATTGGAAGAGGAGTGGCTGGGACATGAACCAGCACCCACATATAATGCCAGCACCGCAGGCAGGGCTTAACTACCATGCCACAGTGCTGGCCCCCAGATAACATTTTTTAAAAAATTACTGTGGGAGGCTGGCATTGTGGCATAGTGGGTTAAGCCACCACACCCCATATGGGTGCTGGTTCGTGTCCTGGCTGCTCATTTGCCAATCCAGCTCTCTGCTAATGGCCTGGGAAAGCACCAGAGGATGGCCTAAATGCTTGGGCCCCTACACCCAAGTGGGAGAAGCTCCTGACTCCTGGTTTTGGCCTGGCCTAGTCCTGGTTCTTGTGGCCATTTGGGGAGCGAACCAGAGGATGGAATAACTATCTCTCTGTCTCTCCTTCTCTTTGTAACTCTGTCTCTCAAATAAATAAATATTTAAAAAAAATTTTTAAATAGAATCATCTGACCAGTATTGCTAGGTATGGGCTCACACATTTTGGTAAGTATATGGTTGGGGCAGAGAGATGAGTTCACCCCAAAGGTAGGATAGTCAGAGCTGCTTCCCAGGAAGACTTGGCATAGTAAGACTTTTTTTTTTTTTTTTTTGAGACTATCTTTTCTACACAGTAAAAGTTCTGGACTTTGGTGAATGTTTGAAGCTGAACAGGGACTCTTGCCACCTAAATTTTTTTATTTTAAAAGATTTATTTATTTATTTGAACGGCAGAGTTTCAGAGAGGCAGAGGCAGAGAAAAGTCTTCCATTTGCTAGTTCATTCCCCAAATGGCCACAAAACAACCAGGACTGGGCCAGGCCAAAGCCAGGCGCTTCTTCTGGGTCTCCCACATGGGTGCAGGGGCCCAAAGACTTGGGCCATCTTCTACTACTTTCCCAGGCCATAGCAGAGAGCTGGATTGCAAGTGGAGCAGCCAGGACTCAAACTGGTACCCATATATGATGTCAGTACTGCAGGCAGTAGCTTTACCTGCTACGACACAGCTCCAGCCCCACTTGAACTTCTATAACACTGCTACCCCTGTACCCAGAGGATTGGGTGCCAAGACTAATACTCATTCATTACTGACAGTCAATTGAGTAATTACCTACAGAAAGGCAAAGAATGTTGGATGTCCTCTTGCAGGCTTAGTTCTTCCAGATTTATTTGCCCCACCCAATGATAGTGAAATCGGCAGCATGGAGAGTCGGGGTAATGCCCAGTGGCCAAGTGGCCCTGGATCAAAGATTCGAGGGTGATAGATTCTTCCGTGCTGACCTCTGATTGTTGAGAACACCACAGCTGTGCCTTGAAGCCCAGCTAAAGACTTCTGTTGAGGCAAGAGCCACATCTGTCAATACTGGTAGTTAACACAACACAGCTACAGCTTCCCAGAATGCCTGTCTCTTTGGCTCAGCCCTCAGAATGGCCGTGAAGATGACTGACACTGAATCATGGGTCACCCTT